CAGTAATGCAGTACCAATTGAAACCTGCTTTTTGATTGCTCCTTAAGTACAGCACCACTATTGTTAGGTTAGGTTTTGTTATATTGTTGGAAGACTTATCTATTGTTTGTCCATTGTTTTCTCAACCTATCATGAGACCCGTTCCGAGCGGTGCTACCTGGCTCTCTTTTTTATCAAGGTGACATATAATTATGATGGACGTGAGTGCAAACGAGGTCCCCGAGGATTCCAAGGATCTCCAGGATCACAAGGACGTCCCGGATCTCGTGGTAGAGACGGTAAAACCGGTGCTCGTGGACCCCAGGGGTTGAAGGGAGATACTGGTCCAAAAGGAGTCAAGGGAGATCGTGGACCAAGAGGTCTGTCATCTCATTCCAACTGGAAGGAATGTTCTTGGAAGACCTGGGAGAGCAAGGACAACGGTCTGATCAAGGTTTGTACGTCATATGAAACGATTAGTATCTTGCGAGTTTTATAGATGTTGTTCAGTTTTTTAATTCAGTTCTCAATGATTTTACTTCAACTATTAACTGAATGTATATGATATTTCTAGATTCTCATTGCACTTTATTGATATTTATTTATTCTATTATTTTTAGAATTGTTTTTTCCATAAGAAGTACAGTCACACAGTCCTCCATGTCTACTGGAATGGAAACTTGAGAATTTATAACTGCGACARATGCTGTAAACGCTGGTTCTTTACCTTCAACGGTGGTGAGTGCCAGTCTCCTAACGCCATTGATGGAATAGTCTACATGTGGAAAGGCAGAGGACATAAAGACCTCCATCGTGTCCGCCATATTGAAGGTCACTGTGACAAGATCCACAAGGGAAAAGTACGTGTTGGCTTCAACGTGGGAAACTGCAAAGGGTACGGTAATGCTGACGCCGAAACCGGATGGAATTCCGTAAGCCGTCTGTTTATAGAAGAGGTGCCCAGGCCCCAGAAGTGATCCCATCCGTGTTTATTACAAGGATTCTAAAATATAAAAAAAATATGATACTGCAATGAAGTTGACATGATAAGATAAAATAGTAGGGTTTGTAATAAAACCATCTTTAGAATAAGTTAATCATGCTGTAATAAGGTGTTGGGTTCAATTAAATCATGAATTGATGCAAATTTTTGTCTGTTTTTCTTTTAAATCAAAAGTTGCGAAGCTATTTTTTAATTGAAAGACAGAAGAAGATAGAAAAATAAAGGAAAAGTGTCATCAGATGTATTGACTAAATATGTTAACAGAGTGGGATAGCGAGGCAAATTAAGCTTTTTTTGAACTTTATAATTGAAAAACAAACAATAATTATGTAGCATAAAGCATGATAGGTTTCTTCCTCAAATAGTGCGTTACAAGTGAAAAAAATTACATCATCATGACAGGACATATACCTAGCCTAGTGGTCCTAGCGTGACAATATATTCAGCAAGCAATAGCGTGACATTAAAATAAAATCCATAAACATATCGCAGCATGGAATAGTCGGTCACACCGTATTATATATTTACGAATGAAAGCAACAACAAAAAAGAAACACAAATAGCAGTAAGAACGAGATTACGTGAGATATGATGTACACCGCTTCCTGGATAGTTGGGATTCCTGTGCCTAGGAAATTAAGACAGGAAACCCATCATACTTCCGCGTCCAACTACATACCTGTGATCTGTTATTGTTATTACTATTCAAACTAACTTATGAAAGACAAAATTTTCGCAGTATTACCATGAAATAATTGATACCTAAGAAAAACGCGAGGGTTATTAGAATTACTATGAGTCGAAAATCCCTTCAGACAAATCAAAAATTATGTCTTGGACCCGAAGTTTATCACGCTCTGTACACGTGTCTATATTAGGTTAAGAATGGTCCACAGCTAATGTTGATATTAGCATACACAATGAATCTACCCACAATAACAGCAGACTTGATTGTAATNTAGTGGTATTTCAAATTGCATCATTTTATTCAACTATTTCATAAACAGATAATAGCAAATACCACTTATGGTATTTCAACATTGTTAGAAATTCAACTCGCTTCACTATATCATAGAGGGTATTTTTCCCAAATACCACTACAAAAAATACTACTATTACCTGTACAAATGTTTTTTAGTTTCAATGAAAGACAAAATATTTGTAAAACATAAGCTATACAGAGCAAATACTGAAAAAGCATAAATTTCACTGATAAATATGAATGAAAATGAGAATTTATGCTWATCTTTTTATCAGCAATATTTATCTTTATTGCATTTGTATCTTTACCTCGGAGGTATTCCTATTTTTTTCTAATTTCAAACTTTTATATTTTTGAAAAGCCAAGAGAAAAATGCAAAATCCATTTTTACTGCTAATATTATTCAATATACATGTAGGAGTGGGTCAGATAGAAATAGTAATTTCAAAGTAATTAACATGGGAAGTCAAAAAACTTGTTGTTGTTTGTGTTGATGCRAAAGTGACACAGACAAAAGGTATTTAAATACATATTTATTGAGTACAGTCAAATTATATGTAATAATTGATAATAGTACTTCTTTTAACATTTAATACAGCAAAGTAACAATTTGTCAGCACAAGAAAGTATGAATTATATATACACCTACTTGCAGAAACGTTGTCATAGAAAATAGAACATTCGAATTTAGTAAAAAGGAATAAATTAAAACAAAACAAAAGAAAGCKWTHAGCCTYAGTGAYCTTCTTTTGYCTTTATAATTTATTCCTTTTTACTAAAATACAAATGTCCTATTTTTTTATGTTTTCGCAAGTAKATGTATATAAAGTTTTATTATTACTTGCTTCCTGTGCTATAGTTCATAAAATCAAAACAGTTTTTAAATGTAATATAGTGCCAAGAACAGTTTCTCGTCTGCATGAGTATAAATTTGAACAGAAAATAGCACAAGATTAAAACTATAACTTCAAATTTACAAGTTGTTATATTTCATTAAATAAATCTAT